TCAGGGTAATCTTGACCTTATAGAAAGGGACAGAGGGTGTCTTCCTTGCTTTGGCTATAACCCGTTTGGCGGCTATGAATAGGTAGGTAGCTAATTTTTGTTAAAAATAAGAAAAATTAATAATAGCGCCTATGGTCAAAATTGTATAACTTACTAATAGTGTACCAGCTGCAAAAAAAACACCATATATAAAGTGTACCAATTAATAAATAATTTGCGCTAGTAAATATATATAAATATATGTAAAGAAATCATCAAATCATAAGTCCAGAAAAATATATATATACCAATACCACAGAAAAATAAAAAAAACTTTTTAGGTGCAAAAAAACTTATGTGCAAAAGGAGTGTCTCAATATAAAAAAGAGCTTGATTGATGTGATGTCATTACGTTTTTGACTGCCAGCTATTGCACATGTGCTGAGTAGTCAGGCTCGTTTATGTGATTGCTGTTGATGCTGTTGATGCTGGTGTCGGCTGGGACACCTCTTGAGTAAGTGCAATGAGTATCTAATAAAGGAATTGGTTTTTATAATATTGCACCATGAAGTCTTTCTGTTTCTCTCGAGTGCTTGGCATTTCCCCCCTTGGATACGTTTGAAGGTGGTCCTTTTTCTATTGGAGAAGTGGATTTTCGATTAACTACAAAGTTTTTCGTCCTGTTATTTCGATCGATGAGGATCGGTGTGTTGGAGAGCTTCCGTTTCTGAAGATATTTTTATGGATGATCTGCCATTATATTATCAAGGTTTTTTGGTGAAATTTTTTTATATTGAGACACTTTTTTTATATTGAGACACTCCTTTTGCACATAAGTTTTTTTGCACCTAAAAAGTTTTTTGTATTTTTCTGTGGTATTGGTATATATATATTTTTCTGGACTTATGATTTGATGATTTCTTTACATATATTTATATATATTTACTAGCGCAAATTATTTATTAATTAGCTAATTTTTGTTGGTGAGCATATAGCCCACAATCAGGCAGTGTAGCAAAGCCTGATTTCTCATCTTTTGGAATGGGAATATGGAAGATAAAGTATAAAAGGCCAAGTGCTCTGGACCAAAACCCCTTGAGACCTGGGCATGACCACCAGGTATGGAGCATGTCACCTCGCAGTCCGCAGCCACGTAAACATCTGTCAACAAAGTCAGGATTTGCACTTACAATGTGGGTGGGAACCCAATACAATCACAAAAAGACTTTTTAGGCAGCCTCCATTGTGGATGTGTTGAATGAGCAATGGGAAATAATTGACCATGCTTTAATCCAGTCCACAGAAGGTCCCAGGTCCCTCCCCCAGCTAATAATGTAAGACAGAGAGGAAGAGGCTACAGAGTTCAATGAGGAGTATAGAAGAGTGATAGTGCCCAGGGAACCTGAAGAAGTCTGGCATAAGTGCTCAGAGGTCGTAGACCTATATGGAAATGTGGAATTACAGTCTCCTGAATAGAGGACCACAAGGGAAATGTTCGTGAGGAAAGAAAATGTCGGACCAGTGTGAAGCTGTGCACTACCCACCATTGAAAGGATGTCAGTTGTTCGAAGCCTGTAGGAAAGAGGGGTTTGTTAAACAATGGTAAAAGAGGTAAGTGAGGGGAAATGAGATGACCCGAAAACCGTACCGAGTCCCACACTTTCAAATTGTAAAGCATTAGAGGGCTTAGTGAGGTGGGGCAAAGTCTGTGCGGAAGCCATAGCAATGCCATGACAGGAAGAGGGGCACAGTTGGGGAGTTCTAAGAGCACCCATAGTGGGATGTCTGACATAGCATGAAGCAAGGCACTGTTTTGACATACGGTACTTTTATTACAGGCATACCTTCATGTCTTAGGGTTGTTATTGTTGTTCAACACCCCCCCCCCTTTCTTATGTACAGTACTTAGGTATATGCAGAAAAGACTTACCATGTTTCCAATGCTCCCCCCATTTTCAGGACAATATAGAAAGACCATAGCAGAAGTTTATCAGTGGATAATGTGCATTGTTTTCATTTTGCAATTTTGTTCTCATGGAATATCAACTAGTACCCAACATATTGTAAGCTTGTATAAACATGTTTTGCTCTGTACATTCTTAACAATGATTATACCGTAAACATTTCTTCAATAACATTTCATTTAAAAAAAAAAATACATTAACACATTAAAGATTGTATGAGTTATTAGTTATGGGATTTAGAATCACTTTAAGAGTTAGAGTTGTGCCCCTTCCACTGTGAAATCTAGATTTCATTTTCGATACTTAACTGAACAAACTGAAGCTAGAAGCCGATTGGTTAAAATTCACAGTTTCTCCAGATTCTGTCTGTTCCAGTTTTATTGTGTGTTGTATATATAAGCAGCCTATTAAGGACTGCTATAGCTTAGTTTCTCTGGCTCTGTACAGCTATGTAGAATAGGAAACATTCTACTGTAAAATAATATTGGTACTAGTACTCCAAAGGACTACATGGATAACAAATATTAATTTTCCTGATCTGTGAGAATTTACAACTGGAAGCTGATTTTCTTATATACATAAGAATACTTTTCTGTTTCAATCATTTTATAGGGGTTCTTTGTAGGGATAACAATACGTATGTCCATGCAGGGGCTACGACATATGATAAGTAACAGGTAATAGAAATACAAGGGCAGGTTTATTTGGACGTAAATGTATAGGCTCTAACCCCTGCCCCATCTGAGGGCTTGATGAGGGCCAGAAGGTGAGGCCCGTGGGATCAATTAAAGCAGATAAACAAGGGCAGGGGGAAGGAGGGATGGGGGTAATGAGCAGGAGAATTTCTGAAATCTGTTGAGAAGACAGGTTGAGGAGAATAGAGAAGTCAGAAAATGTGGGTCAGGGAAGAAAAGTCCCACTCACACACCAGGCCACAAACTGGCTACAAGTAATTTAGACTAGATGGGTTCAAAAGCCATGGCTCCCATATTTTTAGAAATTTTCTTTGTAATTCATTCAGGATATTAGATAATTCTCATTAACCAGTGTAATGTTCAAATGCTCTTTGACAGTGGACTGTGGGCTTTTCCCAAGCTTTAACTAACAATAACCTTCTTGCGCTTAAAAAGTGCCAAAATCACTCAAAAATCAACAATCAATACAATTGCACCAAAAAGACCCTAAAACTGACAGCTGCACTCACAATAACCCACACCGGATATTAAAATAAAAAAATGTATAAATGTCAATCAGTGAAATCATTTCATATATTGTGCATAACCCTCCTTCTGCTAATTTACAAATGGTTAAAGAAGATATGGTATTTTCTGTCTTGTATCCTGAGGCTTATGTACTATGTTTTGGAGATTTTAACCTCGTTATGGACGTGATCTTGGATAGATCCCCCTACCCCTACCTTCGGCAGGTCTGCCTTTAGTCTCCTAGTTAGTGAATTTGGCTGGTGTGACCTCTGTAGAGGCTGTCTCTCGAGAATTGACTTGGCCTTAGGAAATTATAATCTCATTACTAAATTGTCCTCCATTACCTACCTTCCCAAAGGGGTTTCAGACCACTCAACACTACTACTTACTATCAACATTGGCCCATCAGGATGGCATAGGCCATGGTGGGTTCAACCCTTTTGGCTATCTTTAATCGGGTCAAATGACATGATTCCATACCATTTTAATATTTTTCTAGAGGCTCATGGTAATAATAGGGACCTGATGTTTTGACACTTTCAAAGCCTATTTACGTGGAGCCCTCAGGTCTACTATATCATATCCTATATTAAAAGGCCATCTCACCAGCGTGAGAAAGAACTAGTGAAAGTTTATCAGCCAGCAGAAGCAACCTACTTGGCCTCTCCCACCAAGTACATTGGGAGCATACATCCCACATGTACTCAGCTCACATGCCTGCTAATGCCAAAAGGAAAGCAAGCATTTCATGCTCAACAAAAATACTTTGAATACAGTAACCCATCCAATCAGTTATCAGCTCTTATGGCCAAGCAACAGACCAGCAGTTTGGTAGTAACTAAATTAATAAAGACAGCTGATACCAAGGCCCACATAGCAGAAGTGAGTCTTTCCTGTTTTCATGAATTCTATGCTAATATATACTGTATGCTACTACTCTTACCCATAATAATTGGGATGTTGAATCCTATCTCTTTGATTTGCAATTTCCTTCTTTGACTCAAGAAACAAGTGACATCACTGGATGCAGATATAACAGAGGAAATCTGTACAGCTGTGGCTTCCTTGGCAACAGGCAAGGCATCTGGTCCCTACGGCCTTCCCTTGGAGGTTTATAGCAGACACCTAGATGTCATTACACCTATTCAAGTGCATATTTACTCCAAGGTTTTTCAGGAGGGGAGATTGCTACCATCTACACTATATTGCCAAAAGAATTGGGACGCCTGCCTTTACACGCACAGGAACTTTAATGGCATCCCAGTCTTAGTCCATAGGGTTCAATATTAATTTGGCCCATCCTTTGCAGCTTCAAATCTTCTGGGAAGGCTGTCCACAAGGTTTAGGAGTGTGTCTATGGGAATGTTTGACCATTCTTCCAGGAGCGCATTTGTGAGGTCAGGTACTCACGTCGGACAAGAAGGCCTGGCTCACAGTCTCCAGTCTTATTCATCCCAAAGGTGTTCTATCGGGTTGAGGTCAGGAATCTGTGCAGGCCAGTCAGGTTCTTCCACCCCAAACTCGCTCATTCATGTCTTTGTGGACCTTGCATTTTGCATTGGTGCTCAGTCAAGTTACAACAGGAAGGGGCCATCCCCAAACTCTTCCCACAAAGTTAGGAGCATGAAATTGTCCAAAATGTCTTTGCTATGCTGATGCCTTAAGAGTTCCATTCACTGGAACTAAGGGGCCAAGCACAACCCTGGAAAAACAACCCCACACCATAAACCCCCCTCCACCAAACATTACACTTGGAACAATGCAGTCAGGTAAGTACTGTTCTCCTAGAAACCGCCAAACCCAGACACGTCCATCAGATCGCCAGACAGAGAAGCGTGATTTCCCACTCCAGAAGGCATGTCTCCACTGCTCTAGAGTCCAGTGGTGGTGTGCTTTACACCACTGCATCTGAAGCTTTGCATTGCACTTGGTGATGTAAGGCTTGGATGCAGCTGCTCAGCCATGGAAACCCGTTCCATGAAGCTCTCTATGCACTGTTGTTGTGCTAATCTGAAGGCCACATGAAGTTCGGAGCTCTTTAGCTAGAGATTCTGCAGACAGTTGGCGACTTCTGTGCATGTCAGCATGCGCTTACCGGACTCTTTTTTATGTGGCCTACCACTTTGTGGCTCAGTTGCTGTTGTTATCAGTTGCTTCCACTTTGTTATAATACCACCAACAGTTAACCGTGGAATATTTAGTAGTAAGAAAATTTCACAGATGGACTTATTGCACAGGTGGCAACCTACCACACTTGAATTCACTGAGCTCCTGAGAGCTACCCATTATTTCACAAATGTTTGTAGAAGCAGTCTGCATGCTTAGGGGCTTGATTGTATACACCTGTGGCCATGGAGGTTATTGGAACACCTGAATCCAATAATTTGGAGGGGTGTCCCAATACTTCTGGAAATATAGTGTAAGTACTTCGCCACTGTAGTACTTATAATAAAAACCAATGTGGATCTCACAGAGTGTGCCTCATACTACCCGATATCACTGCTAAACATTGATTATAAAGTCCTCACTAAAGTTCTGACCAAACAACCTAATTCTGTAATCCTAAGTATTATTCACCCGGCCCAGACTGGCTTTATGCAGGAAAGTTCACCTCTATTAATATCCACAAAACACAGTTAATTGTACAGCTTAGAAAATATTTCCCCAAATCTAGTGTGCTAGCTTCCCTAGATACCACCAAAGTCTTCAATTCTATAGAATGGCCTTTCTTGTTATCTGCTCTACGGTCCTGTGGCTTTGGAGAGAAATTTCAAAAATGGGTCTCTATACTGTATTTTAGCCACACCTCCCACCTATTGGTTAATGGTTTACACTCCACATCTATACCAATCCACTGAGGTACCCAGCAGGGATGCCCTCTATCTCCAATACTTTTTGCGATGGCCACAAAGACATTGGCTTTGAGATTTTGTCAATCCTCTCTCCTCAAGGGTATCACCTTAGGTAATAGATGTGACACAATAGGATTGTATGCAGATGATCTTATCCTTTATCTACAGAATGCTTTGGCATCTTTGGCTGCAGCCAAGCAGATCATCGATAGATATGGCACATACTCAGGCATTAAAATCAATTGGCAAAACTCAGCCTTAATGCCTCTTCATCCCCAGGCATTCTCACAGAGTGATGCTCCAGGTCCATTTAAGATAGTAACTTCTTTTAAGTATTTGGGAGTGATCATTACACTTTCTGTCTCGGAAGTTTTGAAAGTTAATTTAGATCCCCTTCTTCAAGTAATTAAGGTTATGCTTAATGTACAGTATGGGCTAAGCTCCCTCTCTCAGTGGCAGGCAGAATCAATCTAATAAACAAGATTCTTTTACCTAAGTGTCAATATGTAACAACTCATATGCCTATCTCAGTACCCAAATCATTGTTCAAAACTTTAGATGCATTATTTACTTCCTTTATTTGGGCCAATAACAGGTAAAAGTTGAAGCTTTCTATATTGCAATGGCCCAAAACTGAAGCTAGTATGGCACATCCTAATATGTACTTTAATTATCTTGGGCAACTTCGTCATCTGACTGACTGGCTGGTGCCTACTACGCCGGCTGTAGTGGAGTCACACGAAGCTCATGTTCTTAAGATTTATTAGTAGCTCTAGAGGCATCCTTGGCTGTCCTCAGTAGGGAGCATGTACCAATTTTGACTCCCGTACGGAGTAGAGAGAGGCCAAAAGAATAGACAAGTCTAGAAATATTGCTTTGGAGACCCCACTGTGGCAAAATCCTATGTTTCCTCACCTGAAATACTTGACAGATAGTCCCTTTTGGAAATGCAAGGGTATTCCTACTTTAGATGACGTATAAACTAATATTTTGGCTTTATTCAAGGAATTAATACAATAGGACCTGTATTGTACTGCCTTCTATAGGTATTTACACTTTAGACATGTTCTGCACACACAGTTTGGTTTCTACTACAACAAGATTTTCTAACTGTAAAAGGGGGGGTGTGGCTCTAAGAAATTAAATGTCAATAAATAAATATATCTATAAATGTGTTTCTAATATAAATACATAAAAAGTTCATAAAACCAGTTCAAATAGTGAGTAAGACAGTTCAAAAGGTGACTCTTGTGCTCTGGTTATTCTGGAACCGGTGTACGTGCAGTAATAATGTAAGTAATGCGCATTCACCGGCTGCGCATATAAATTGCGCCTTATATCAGTATTCCAGGTGTCATAAAGGGGAGTCAGGAACTGGGTAGTCTTCCCTCTAAGGGATGGTAGGTCATCAGACATCAGACTTGGGGTTTTTGCTCAGAGCAGAGCGGCCGGACAAGGAAGGAGACTCCGCTGATCGCCTTCAATTTTCAGACACATTGCCTCAGGAGGAATCCTTATATCCAGAGAGGAAATCTCCCACCCAGGCAGGGAGCAATACTGGTTTAACCCCTTAAGGGGAACTCTGGTGGACGTGGATCACCTGTAAAAACCCCAAGGATCCTGTCTGATGACCTACCATCCCTTAGAGGGAAGCAGGGGTGGACTCACCATTTGGAAACTCGGGCACTGCCCGAGGGCCCGGGGTCAGTAGGGGGCCCATGAGATGCTCCTGGTACCTTTTTCATAGGCTTTTTTGAGTTTGGGCAAGGACACAGGGGCCCCATGATCACCTATTGCCCGGGGGCCCCATGAGTTCTCAGTCCACCCCTGGAGGGAAGACTTATGTTTTTATATGCGCGTCCGGTGAGTGCGCATTACTTACATTATTACTGCACGGACACCGGTTCCAGAATAACCAGAGCACAAGAGTCGCCTTTTGAGCTGTCTTACTCATTATTTGAACTGGTTTTATAAACTTTTTATGTATTTATATTGGAAACACATTTACAGATATATCTATATATTGATATTTAATTTCTTAGCGCTGCACCCCCCTTTTACAGTACATTTTATAAGGTGTTTTTGGTTACCTTTGTGCATAGTGGCTTTTTTATATATTTTAGGGCGTTCACAATTTTATTTATACTATTAAAATTTTCTAACTGCCCACTGATAGGAATATTACGGTCTCAGGGACCTAAAGCTCTGATCTCTGAAGTGTACTCTCATTAGCTGTATGCCATGCTTAACAGAACCCCATTGGCAATACATTCAAAATGGCAACAACTCATCCCTGATCTCTTAGATGAGGATTGGAAGGAAGGGTGCTCCTCTTATCTACATGTATCCCCGGCCATCAATAATGAGCTAATACAGCTGTATGTTACATCAATCCTATTTAACTCCAGCCAGATTTTACGCAATGCACTGAATATCTGTTCCAAAGTGCACGAGATGTGATTTCCCATGGGCTGATTTTACACATGTCATATGGTCATGCCCCGCTATTGCAAGATATTGGCAACAAGTAATTCACACTCTCTCTACTATTCTATCTATACCTGTGCCTTGTACTCCAAAAGTGTGCCTATTGGGTATACTAGACAAGGAACAATGGCTGAGATATGTTAGAATTATGATGTGGGATACATTATTTTTAGCTTGCAAGGCTATAGCATTCAAATGGATACAATCAACTCTCCCCTCTATGCGCAAATGGATGCAGCTGGAGAACTTTGCATATTACCATATGAAAAGTTTATTTTTGAACATAAGGGTTGTCCCAGGAAATATAATAAAGTGTGGGATGTCTGGTGCTCATCCACTCTTACTGTAACCAATAATTAGGGCGCATTATATGTACGGTTGGGTTCAGAACCTGGGAATCTGCAGTCTTAACTGTCATACTTGTATTTTTCTACCTACTTGGATACATTTCATGCAAATTCATGAAGGTACTTTACCTTCAGCCTTGATTGTGAATGTCATACTATACTATGCATATATGCTTATGTACTTGCTTTCATGTCTCTGAACCGAAATGTGTGTTCAGCTTTTAAAAAATAAAAGTGCATAAATATAAATAGGTGATGCCAAAATCAGCAAATGCAAAGAGAGCTAAATAAATTAATAAATAGTCCAGAAATTCATAAAAAGTCCAACAAAAATAAAGTGCATCAAATAAAGTCTCTATGTTAGAATGAGTGTATTCATATGTAATGGAAACAGTTCAAATTGCCTGTGCAGACAACTTCTTCAGCTTCTAAAGCTGCTTACCAAAAGCTTAGACCTCAAAGTTTAGGAGGTCTAACAGCATTTATAGGGAAAAATACCAAACTGAATGGATGGCTAGTCCCCTTCATTCCCACAGCCACCCCACTGGATGGATAGATGGATGAATGGAAGATGAACCTCCACTATAACAGCAATAGCCTGACAGTCAAGCCGTCTCTCCACACCAGATTAAATCAAGGCAATCCCCTGATCAATCATGGCATACATATCACATAGAAGAGAAAGGGAACTTATTCATGGTGAAGTATTAAAAAAACATTTATTAAGTGCCAGGCATCTACTCAGATAAATATAAAGCAAGTCAGAATATTGAAAATGCAGCATCCAACACCACAGCGGAGGGGGGGGGGGGCAGTGATGCCACTGCTGTAGCTCTAGTGACGCGTTTCATCTGAATGGATGCCATAACTGAACATTTTATTTATTGGTTCACTTGATTGTTATGCGCTATATATATATATATATATATATATATATATACACACACACTATATATATCGATTTCACTGATTGACAGCGCAACACATTTATGTATGTTTTTTCAAGCTTCAGCAATCACTTGTGTAGTAGCCATAAAATAAGAATGTAGTCAATTTCTGTTGATGTATGAAAAGGTTTAGGAGTGTATGGTGTAGAAGGGCCATCTTTGCATCCTTTTGGGACAACTCTACCCTAATAAGGTTTGGATGTGTAGCACATCTCCCTGTAGATCCTCTAAAACATTTATCACTGTATTGTATGGCATAAACTATTTGTGTTGGTACCCAACACCACCAAAAGGGAACCTCGTACACCGTTTCCAGAATAAATGTATTAAAGAAACATTATAAGAACCCTTTTCATATTTGAAGCCCAATATGTTGCTCGGGACATTTTATGAGAAAGTAATCAGTTTTATTTATCAATATGTATGAGAGGAGGACAGTCTTGGACAGTCTGTGCTGTTTCAATGTAGCCAATCAGAATCATACACAAACTGGAATGTGACAACTGGAAAATTAAAGTCTAAATGTAATTGTTTGCTAAAGGGCAATACAGATTGTTCGAGACACTTTTTCCTTCAGACACTTTGACAGTGAGGACAGATGTCATCGACTTCCTAACTCATTTACATCAGTATACAATCACTGTAGAAAAATGTTGATGCCACATCTGTCATCTCTAATAAGGAAGACCTAGCTCTTAATA